CCTCTGCCTCAGAATCTGTGTCATCCTCTCCATCTTCAAGTCCTTCCTCGGCCTCCGCTTGCAGAGCGCTGAATACGTCGTTGGCGTAAGGCACAAGGTAAACCGGTAACGAAGCTGGAGGAGGGTTGGCAAATACGTCGGTATCGGAGCCTTGGCCGAGGTGCTCGCAGACAGACTTCCAGCCTGCTTTGAAGTAGATGTCTTGCGTTGCAAAGACTTGCTTCTTGTAGCTCTCCTCGGCCTCGTTAAAGCCGACGGTGTTTGCAGCCCGGCAAGCTTTCTTCTTCGATTTCTTCAGTGTAGCCACCTCGGTCTCGAGCTCATTTTGTTTTTTCTCGGCCGCATCCAGCTGGCCGAGCAGTCTGTTATTGTCGGAGTTGGCCAGCTCAAGAGAAGACTTAGCCCGGCCGAGCTCGGCTTGAAGGCTTTCGACCTGGCTGGCTGTGTCGGTGGCTTTCTGCCTAAGTCTGTGGATACGCTCCAAGACCAGGTGTTGTTTTTGAATGGCCTGCAAAAACAAAAGCAACGTTGATTAGATAGGAGACCGAGCAGAAAAGGAACCGAGCAAACACTTGTGAAATTTTTAGAGGAACATCAACTTACCTTGGCCATAGACTTCACAGACGATTTGACCAACCGAGTGTCGGGGACTGGCGGTGAGCAGGTTCTTGATTCGACTTCTTTTGGCCATTTCTTGCTCGTCTGTTAACCGGATTAACGGGACGTCGGGTAAGGTTGGATCTGGCGGTGGCGAAGGAGCTCTGAGGAAGTCGGTTACTCTACTCCGGCGCGGAGCAGAATATCTGTAAGTCGGGGTGTAGCCGAGTAAGTCGTTGCAATCTCGGTGGGAATACCGAAGCACGGTCCGAATGGCCTCAACATTGGGAAATTGATAATTGGCTCGCAAGGCTTGGATTGCTGCAAAAGAAACAGGAAAACCGGTTAGTTACAGAGTAAAGAGTTAGGCTGACCGAGTAAGTTTGAGTGGCTTACACGAAGAACCGAAGTCCTTGTTTATAAACCAGTCCGGCACCTCGACTGTTTCATAGTTGCCCGACACCCAGAAAAAATCGTCGTCGTGAAGATCTTTATCCGGGGTGCCGGTTACAATTTTTTCCTTGCCCGGCCTTATCTTCAGGTAATAAGCTAGGCCGTCCCCGGTGTGGCCCATTGTGTATTGCCTCAGTATCTCGGCTAGGCCTAAGTTGGTGCCTAGCCGATTGTTCAATTCGTGAACGCCGTTGATTATTCTATAAGTGTTGGTGGACACTTGTGTGGGTGCCAGCCCGGTGCGGCAAAGGAACTTGGTTATAAGAGGGTTGAGCGGGAAACGGAGGCCCCCTTCGACAATAGAGAGCACGGTGAAGGGGCATTAGTCAAGTCTGCCCCAAGGTGTGGTCTCCTCTTCAACCAGTTCGAGATGAACATCGGCCGGGATGCCGTAATCCTCTCTGAAAGCAGCTAGCGCGGCCGGAGTATCCACTAGGAAGCGAAATTTCCCCATTTGTAGCCGGCTTAGTGTATCTCGGCTGAGGGGTTTGGCACTGGTTATTGGATGCTGCTCGGTCCTGAGAGCCTCAGGAATGACAGTGGTCCCCTTGGACTCTGCAGGAAAAGGATGGCAAGTGTTAAGTGTTAGCGCAGTCGCGCAAAAGGAGCTGGATTTTAACTCGGTCATTAAGGGTGCCAAACCGCCTCGGTTGTTTATCTAAGGAGCCCGGTCGCCCAAGCAGACCAGATGTTAGCCCGGTTGAGCGACCAAGTCCTTTTGTTATCTCGGTTTTTGCTGGGGTCGAGACAAACTTGTTATTTGCTCGGTTGGACTGGTTTTTTGGATCAAAAGAGGACCAGGAGCCCGGCTCACCCCAGTTTTTCAGTGTTCTTCACGAAGATGAAGAACACCAAGAACAATGGGAGGTTAGGTGCGGATTCTACGACCTATGCCCTAATAGCTATGTTTTTGTGCCCTAATGTGTGCAATATGAAAGAAAATAGCAACAAAGTGAAGGTGGAATAACTTACCAGTGAAGGACAGGACCTAATCCTTCAAGCACGAAGAATGGCAGCAAGTCTGGATGAAGATGCGAGAGCTCTAAGGTCGAATATCGAAGCGACAGTAGGAAGATTTGGAGTTTGAGAAGGACATGTATGTATAGGCGAAGGAGACCGCCCAAATTCAAATTCTGGCAAAAACGGCGGGTTGGCTGCCCGATGACCAATGGCAGCCCGCCACGTGTCCCCATTTATGGCTACGACAGGACTGAAGCGACGGGTTGCAAATACGAAGAGCCAACCGAGCTACTTTCAACGAAGAGGATGTCAGCCGAGGAATATAACCGGGCAAGTTTGCAGACAATTATGTTAACTAGCCCGGTCGAGGTTCGACGTCTTGAAGACCGGAGAAATGTTATCTCGGTCGAAGTGAGTAATCCCAGTCACGCTTTCGCGGACGGAATTAAAGGGCAATTGAGAGGGTGATTTATGATCTGGAGTTGGGCCGAGGTAGCGACCGAGCAAATTGAGAGCCCAGCAGTGCGTTGGGCCGAGATGATCGACTGTTCGCCCAGAGAAGGGCTGCCAGAACTTGGGCCAGGCAGAACTTGGGCCGAGTGCGTCCCGTCCCAGACCGTAAAGGAGCAGCTCGGTAAGGCAGTGCTCGGTCGGACCAGGATGCTCGGTCCGAGGTTAGCCGAAGCCAGACAAGCCGAGTGACCGGCGCCCGGAAAGGCACGGTCGGCCCAAACAATACTTTATATTGAAATGAGAAACCAACGGACTTTTTCTTGCAATTTTTATAGAATGAAAGTAATTGATCAGGATATTGTTCTGATAGAATCTTATAATTTTTCCACCATTTGGATGCGATCTGGCAAGCAAGGAAAGTAGTATTGACAACAACGGAGAGAGTATGCTGCCATGCCATGATCCATGGAAATTAAAAATCAATGGTGAAATATAAAAATTCTGGATAAGAGGGATTAACCTCCTTTCGATAAATATGGTAAGATTCTTTGAGAGGTTTCGATAAAGCTTCAAATTGTAGTCCAAATTGATGCCACCAAGGTTCAAACCAGGTGGGTATTTCTCCTATAGTGATCTCAAAATTGGGTCAAAAATGGATCCACCATAAATGTTGGAAGAATCAATTTTGGAAGTAAAAAACGTAGAACCAGGCTTGCTGGTAATCATAATAATTGTATTGGTTGGGTTTGATATTTGGATCGGTCAAAACGAAATCATGTATAACGACTTTGATCTCTATATACCATTTTTTATATGTGATGCTATTTAGAAGTATTGACAGAATCATTAATAACTAATGATTGTTTTGTAGGGTTCTTATTGGATAATTCTTGGAGATGGGGTTCATAAGGGAATGTCATATCAGCCAGGAAATCATCTGTATCGGCGGGATTTTCTTTCAAAGCTAATACCCTAGATTGGAGATTTTGAATATCAATTTTAAGATTACGAATTTCATTTTGTAAATCTTGAATTGTTGGTGTGTTTAATGGAGTTAGTACTTTATTTACTCTGTCTAACACATCTCTAAAATCGTATGTATTATATTTTAACTCTTGAGTTGTATTAGTGATTTAAGCATTTTTTTTTTTTTTGGATTTTAGTATTTAAAGGCTTGCCGGAATATTTGCTCCCCGTACAAGTGATTTGAGCATTTTTTTTTTGGATTTGAGTATTTAAACATGGCTTGTTGTTTTTTCTCGGGATCATCTATACTATCTATAAATTCGAGAATAATCTTTTCCTGTGTTGTGAGCACATTAATACCATTCATTTCTAAAATAGCTTTGTAATAATCAGTTGTTGATTGAAATGGGCAATCATGAGATTCTTCTAGATGATTTTCTGGTTCCTCATCAGAAGAAATAATAATATCATTATCAATTTCATTAAGTTGAAAATCATTATCAGAAGGATTGTCAGAAGAATATTCAGATTCAGATTGGGGTTCTTTATCAATAAGAAAAATTGATTCTAATTGGCTTTTGAGTTCATCAGAAGTATCAAGTTCATGAATTTTCTTTTTGGCAAGACATTTGTTTGCATATTGGCCAGGTTTGCCACACTTCCAACAATTAGTAGATTTCTTAGACCATCTCTAATGGTTCATCAAAGTTGACATCAAATTTAAAATTTGGTGAAAAAGTTACTATTTGGTGCTCCAACGGTTGCACCAAATCGATATCAAAATGAGATTTCACCAAACAATTCATCAAACTGAGGACAGAATACTGATTTCATCAAAACACTGTTTGTGACCGTTGGGCGAGACCAACCGGTCGACCACCAAAAGGTTCAAGCAATTCTAAGAAAAGGTTCAAACAGTTAATAAATAAATAAATAAATAGATTTTTTTTGCCTTACCAGTCGACCAGCCGGTTGACCAGCCAGTCGACCAGCCACCACTAAAAGGTTCAAAAAGTTCAAAAAAAAAAAAAAAAAATTTCGCCTAACCAGTTGACCAACCGGTTGTCTCGGCGCAAATTTGATGAAAGTTCACCGTTAGAACGAGTGATATCAGATTTGGTAAAATGGGTCATTTTTTACTCAGATTTGATGAAAAAAGAAATGCACCGTTGGAGATGCTCTAATAAGCAACGTAAACCACCAATCAGATTCCTTTGCATGTCTGCCAACCCTTCAACTTTACACTTCCATGGGGCCTTGCAATGGAGCTTAGGTGGTGGTGTTGTACAAGGGTAAAATGGATAATTTAGGGAAAAAATATTTATTTATTGACATAAACAATTTTTGTTGGTTAACAAATAGTTGGTTGAGATTGATATTCTAAAATCCAAAAAACGGAGAGCAGTGATATTTCAAAGAACAAGAGGAGGGTTATTGTTATTTCAAGATATAGAAGGGATGTCTGTAATTTTTGGTGTGATCCCATTTACTTCCAAAAAAATTTGACCCACAGATTAATTTTTTGGATATTTTTATGTAATAGAGCGTTTGGCTAATTTTGTTGCACGCATTGAAGAGTTTTATTTTTATTTTAGTTTACGATGTTGTTATAAAAAAGTATTGTTGTAACTCACTTTTTTTTATTTATTTTTTTAATGTTGACACAGCGAGTATTTACCTTTGGCAAGGGAAAGACTGAAGGCAACAAGGGCATGAAGTCTTTGGTGAGTTATTTACATCCATCTCCATTTAGAAACCCATGTTTAGCTTTTGTGTTTTTGGTTATTCATTCTTAAGTTTGACAGATATTTTCCTATTCATAAATGGTGATCACTGATCAGCTTTTAAGGCTGTGTCTTTTGGATTTGAGTAGTGCTTTGTGGAGGGAAAGGAAATGGAATAAAAAAGTGACAAAAATTTAGCTTCTATTTTTGTCATCTGTTTTTGGAGAATTCTACAATACACATCGCTTACCATAAACTATATGCACCCTTACTTATGCCAATTTTTTTTTAGTTATGATCAATTTTCTTTTTTAGTTATGACACTATTCTGAGATGTTTGGTTATACCTCATACAGTATTTGGTTATGATTTTTTTAGTTATGACTCATAAAGTATGGAGTTATGTCATTTTTTTCTTTAATTATAAGATGCATATGGTGCGTACACACCCTTTGATGGGTGTGTACCATAGTCTTTCCCTTTGTTTCTTTTTCTTTTCTTTTTTTTTTCCCTCACAAATCTTTACAAAAACACAACTTAAAAGTCAGTAGAGCACTATGAAAGTTACCTTGGAACCTAACTGATTGAACCAATCAATGCAAGCCATTTCAACCTGTTTCAAGCTGACTTTTGGCTTGAATATCAATTTTTAACATAAAAGTGTCATATTCTTGGAAAATTTGACATATGCTGTTTAAATCTGACCCTCCTCAGGCCTGCAAAGACTGCCTCTTTTTTTTTTGCTATAGAAGTGTCGTAATAATTGATACTATTCTGTAACTATGATGTGTCTCGCAATTTTTATTTTCTTGTAAATTTTAGCTTTTAAGCAGATGAACCAAAACTTGTTTTTCTATTAACCGATCAAAACCCATTAATGGTGAGTCTGGTTTTTCAAATTTTATTGACATAATATGATAATCTGTGTTTTTTTTTGCATATACTACCTACTTGTCCAACATTTTAAACTTTGATAAATGTTTTTCTCCATATATGTTTGACATTGTGAATTTGTATCAATATTCTGAGTACTTTTGATGGACAAGAATTTGCATATATATGTATATTTTTAGTTGGGAGGTAAAGGAGCGAACTTGGCAGAGATGGCGAGCATTGGTTTGTCAGTGCCGCCAGGGCTTACCGTATCAACAGAAGCTTGCCAAGAGTATCAACAGAACGGCAAACAGCTACCGGATGGATTGTGGGAGGAAATATTGGAAGGCTTAGAGAGTGTCGAGATGGACATGGGGGCATTCCTTGGCGACCCTTCCAAGCCCCTCCTCCTTTCTGTTCGCTCTGGCGCCGCTGTAAGTGCCTTTTCGTTTGTGCATTCAGCTCTGGCATCTGTACATTGTTGACACTTGACACTATCTACTAGAAAAGTGGGCTTTTGCATGTTTGCCATCGCTAATAATAGTTTTTTTTTTTTTTTTTAGTGACAGCATGAATAATAGTCACCGAAAATAAATATTAGTGATGGCGTAGTTACAGTCAGTAATAACTGGTCTCAATTGATGGTTATTAGCGACAGAAAAAATAAGTAATAGTGACAGCTATGGCGTTGTCACAAAAAAGGGGTGGCAAAAATAAATTTTTGCAACGTGTAGGATGGAATGTGACTAGTCGAAAAGACACTTGTTCAACATAGGTCCGTCCCCTGCCCCAACAGTAACTTCTTTCGTTTACAAAGGGCTTATTTTGAGCTATAAGAAATTCAAATTTACAACAATGGCATTCCGCCAACATAACTGAGGCCCCGTGGCCAACAAATAAGAAGATCCAAATCTTGTAGCACACCTTGCTCAACACCTGAAAAAGATTCAACAACGTGGGATGAACATATAGTCCAGTAGGGAACTCAACATGCTCCTTAACAATAACAACATTACAGATAGCTATGATCATGAACACCCACTCTCCTACTAGAATAATAATGTGACAGTTTATACAAAATATATATATATGAATATATATATGAACTTTTCTTGAAAACAATCATTTAATTCACCGCTATAAGTGATTTATTCTTCCTTTTTCCTTTCATTAACCCCCGTTCCCAATCTTTTATAACATTAACAACTACTTAGAAAAATGGATTCACTAAGCCCATTACTCTTCCATTTGCCACACATACAACAGATGTGCCTTTTCAAAACATATTTGGCATTTCAATGCAATTCCAATTATATCATAATTATCCATGCACACCTCTATAAGAAAGATAACAACTCAACTACATACATAAAATCAATCAATGAGTCAACTCGTCCCTCCAACACTGTAACAAATACAATCCACAATGTTTCCAGATACACTGAAACAATAACAAAACAACACTGCACTACTAGCTATATGTGTAGTAAGCCAAAGATACACTTCTCACCACAATCTACCAGTTTACCAGGCGCTAGCTGGAAGGGTATGGTACCTTAGATTATCAGCGCGTCAGTTCTCCAGGCGCTAGCTGGAAGGGTATGATACCTCTGATTATAAGCGCTGAACAAATAAGTGTGTGGAGTCCATCCCCTATCTTCTCACACACACTGGAGTATAACCCCTCTCTTCTCCCCAACCGGTATTCAAATATAATGTAATTCAGCATTTCATTACATATGATGTTCAATCAACAATGGTGTATTACATACACGGCAATTCAACACAAACACGTCATCCTCCACCGATGACCAAGGACAAAACCTCTAGATGCATGTATATTGTACATCAATTAACAAACTCAATTATTATGAGACCACAAACCTGACAACAATATTAACATGATAGTTCAAGATACAATTCCACACGTGTGTGTTCGACACTCATGAAACAACAAACCAATTTTCATACGTATTTCCAAAATACTTTTCCCATTTTACAAACAAGTTCCATTCCCCTTTTTGTTTTCACAAAATCAACTCCATCACTTTTGTTGTTACAAGACCAAATACATTCCGTTTATTTACAAAAAACAATTCTATTGATAATAAAACCATAACTCACATTAGTCCACCACATTCATTTCAAACCATTCCAAAGCCAAAGTTAACCCCTTAGGCATTAACACCTTCACCCAACTCACATCAACAATGGAGATTTACAATATAGATTCACTATTCTCCATTTTAATTTATCAATCAAAATATGATTTAGGCCTTTTTCCTTTATCAACTACAACATGCTAATTTACACTCCAATTAGCCCAAAACAACCATTAATGACAACATAACCATTTTCAAATACCCAACCCTAGGTTCCTTCCCATGATTTCAAACAAATCCAACATGGATATGATTTTTATGCAATACAAAACTACCACATGTCTATCTATAGACGAAGTATTGAAAAAGAACAAGGAGAATCCCTACCTCAAATGTAGAACTCAAGGAGAAGATGAGCAAAACTCAGAAGTGCTCCAAATCCCAAAATTCTTGGATCACAACGAAGCCCTCGACGATCAACACACTTCTTACAAAGGCCCAAGGTGAGGAAACCACTCTAGCTAGATCAATCCTAAGAGAGAAGTTAGGTTTTAGAGTGAGGTGCTCTCCAATGGAGGTTTAGTGCAAAACTAACTCTCTAAATTAGCAAATCAAGTAGCTAAATTTGTCATCCCCAATTATCACATATGTGATTCCATCAGCAAATTGAAAATTTCTTGGAATGAATCCCAGTTTAAACAAAACTTCAAACTTTAGGTAAGCAACATTTATTCCTAGGATAATATCAATAAGGCCCTAAATATTATAGAGACTTATTCCCATGCAAGTTTCATTGAAAATAAGTATAGTAAAATTATTGCCTAAAATAATTTTTTATAACCAATTTTTTACCATATGGTTCGCTAAATTGCTTAACATAATAGAAAGATATATCATATCAATAAAGGAAATGTGGATATTTCTCTTCAAATAAACAAGACATCAACTGAAATCGACAGATGAAGTCGCTGATATGTCCATGCATGTTCATGGAGAGATAGGTCGAACAGGCATTAATAAAAAACATTCGAATAAGTGAAGAGAAGTTTACTTGCGACTAGTATGGAATCTTCACATATAATATGATCTCATTCACTTTTTGCTTTCACTATACTCACTCTGGTTAACGAGTAAGATTCATGTATTTATAGATCGATATCTGGCACACTCGTGTGCTAATCTTATACCCAATCCTCCTCATTTCACGCTTTTGACAAATCAGGCCTTGCACCAAATATTAGGACTGCATCCATAAATATGGCTTCGAAGATTAATGGAGTTTCGGTTAGATTGCTTTGTATCAAGAACTGAATGGCAATAATGGATCATGCTGTGGGCAGCAGTCCCAAATGCATAATGATTAGAATAGAGACGTAAGGAATCTAGAAGCAAAGCACAATACTGTTGTATCCAACAACTTTAAGAAATAAAAATAGTATGTTTCTTCCACACGATATATTCTTTCCGAAGTAATTCGATTGGGATTCCATTCCCATTTATCTCAATTAGTGATTTTAATTTCCATCCTTCTTCTTCTACTTTTTTTTTTTTTTATAAATAAGCATGGTCACTCTCTGATATGTTTAAATTTTCCAATTGATATGGTGAACAACTGGTATACCGCTGCATCAATTTTGATAGATGTAACCAATTGAATGATTTAACATCTAGTCATGAGAACTTTGAGATTGGTCGTCAGTTCACTTGTTTCTTGTTAGGCCACTACAGAAACACGAATTGCCTTTGGGTCCATTGATGTTGCCAAATGTCATGGGTGTAGCGCCAGATTAACTGTTTGCTCTGGTGGAGCAAAGTATGGGGCATACCTATAGAAGTAGATCTCGACTGACTTACCCAATTTTATGGCCTATGACAAGGGGACAACTATTTCCCTTGCAGATTTCTAACAAAAATGGCAACCATTTTGAGACTCAAACCCAAACTATAAAAGGAGGTAGAGTTTTAGTGATGCTTGCAGATCACCAAAGATGCAAGTGGTGGCTTGAAGGCCTAAAGAACGGGCGGGTTCTCTTACAGCCTGCAGTATGCTCGAAGTGCCAAGTCCAAGGGTAAACTTCATGGCATCTTTGTTGAGTCTGCAGATGACTCCAAGGCGGATGGTTTCCCTTTCGAGATGGCATCACAAAAACCTTTTGGCCAGCTGCAAAATGATTTCTCAAGTTGTATTGTTGATTGATGCGGGAAGTGCAGCACTTTCCAATCGGTCACATGGAGATTTTTATTTATGTTTTATTTTCATTACTTTCTATAATTTGTGTTTATGCAAGAGATTATAGTAGATATTCATCGTATTTTAGTAATTCCACATTTATGCCTTTGTTCACGATTCTAGTAACACGTCTGATAGAGCATTAGCATTAAAAACAAATTCTGAACCGATATACTTCATCATCGGTTTGATCGACAAAGGTTGAACAGATATAAAACATTCCATCTATCCAATTACCATGAGTACTTCGTTACTTCTGAGAGTTGGGAATCCTAATGTTTGGACAAGAAATCCAACTCTTCCAACCGGAGTTATATCATTTCGAGTTGGGCGAAATCCTTAAAGTTGGACAAGACACCAACTCTCAACCGGAGTACATCATCTCGGTTGGGAATCCTGTTGGACAAGACACCAAACCTAATCTTCCAACCTATAGTATAAGATGTTTTGACATTCTATATAGACAACCTATGGCTTAACATATTGAGATTAGAGCTGTGACCATTGTGTTAGTATTCTTGCCTACTCTATCTATTTCTTCTCTGACTAGGGACTGCGTTTCGTCTTGTTTAGTATGATGTTAATTTTTTTCATTAAGAAAGATAAAATGATTTGTTTTGCATTTTATGATGTAGTTTAGTTGTGGGGCGATTTGAGGAGGGATTTAGAAAGGGGAGGTGTGCGTATTGTGTAATTGGTATATTTTTTTATCCTTTCACCTATCTTTTTTCCATTTCCCTTTTCAAATCTCCTCCTCATCCTCCAAAACAGTTAGGACGCTTTTCCATAATCAGACGATGTATACTACTGGTTGGGAAGTATGTGTTTTTTATGTTACAACTTTGGGTACAACCGAGATGGGTATATCTCGGTTCATGAATTGTTTTGTTATGGCTGAAGGTTCTCGAGCCGTGTTATAGATTCGGTGACCAGCGTTCAAACGATGAGTTATACCGATATATTTTGCTGAAGATGTGGATTGATTACTACCGTGGCATGGAAAATTTGAGTTTTCTCATTGAAAAAGGAAAATCATTACAAAGGTGGGGACAGAGCCCGCGTTTACATCAAAGAGTTGGAAACAAAATACAAAAAACAGGAAAAAGAGAATACTCTAGGGGGAGAGATTGGTGAACTCGTCCTCGCCAGCATCAGGGTTGATTGGTAG